ATTTGCAATGTTACATTTTGTAATTATGTCAAATCCATTACTTACAAGTTCAACATTTAGAAAACAAAAAACGCCAGCGATTAATTATATCTGATATATATTTTATTGTACAGTAGGTTACTAAAATATTCTTGTAAACCAGAGATATTTAAGGAAGGTGGACAACCTTTTATTGTATTTTTGTAAACTCCTTAAATCAAGATTGAAATGGAGGGTCGAGAACTTAAAAACTATGTGGGGGGTTGTTTATAGTTTCTGGACTCTGGCGGACCGTCATGATCTCATTGGAAATCATACCACATGTCCTTATCTTTATATTAATCTGACTAACATTGTACAGAAAGTGCTATCAGCTTAAATGTGATATGAGAAGCAAATTGTTCCATTGAATTCTTTTGGGCAAACTTCGAAACTGAATGAATCGGTTATACAAACCCTGACATAACATGAACATATTCTTTGTAATCATTATTATTTCTTTTGTGAAGAACAACTTAGTCTTATACCACTAAGATGTTGCGTTTTAGAAAAAAAAAACAAGTTTATAGATTGGGCATCGTGAGCTTGTTCACTAAGGTTCTTTAATTTTCTTTGTTAAATGCGCTGAACTAGTGGATACATTTTTAATTTACTAGCATCCATGTTGATTGGATAAGTCTGCTATTGGTACCTGGAATTGATTGGATGATTAAACTGTTGGGTTAATTTGTTTGGTTATTCCGTCTTTCAAATCTTCAGCTTTTAAATAGAATTTTTATGAAATAAAAAAGACGTTTCTCAGTAAAGAATTTGATATAACCAGCCTCCTCATCTCCGTTATGTTTTTTTTATCGATAAGTACTAATGAGATCACATATTTTCTCTTTTAATGTTTTTTTAATAAAGCATTATTATCCACGCTACATAAAACTACATATCTGATTAGTAACACTGATCACATAAGGTATTATACTAAAAAAAAATACCAAGTAACGCGTGTTCTACTTTTATTTGCAATGTTACATTTTGTAATTATGTCAAATACTTTACTTACATTTAGAAAACAGAAAACGCCAGCGATTAATAGTATATGATATATATTTTATTGTACTGTAGGTTACTCAAATATTCTTGTAAACCAGAGATATTTAAGAAGGCGGACTACCTTTTATTGTATTTTTTAAACTCCTTAAATCAAGATTGAAATGGGAGGGTCGAGAGCTTAAAACCTAATATAACCACGTCATATATTTATGTGGTTGTGAAATATTGTAGAGACACCTGTCTTATGTGGAAGAAAATGTTCGCTTCTAAATTTGATCGTTGATCATCTGGTTGAATTGTTTAACATTTTGTCATGTGAGGGCTTTTGATAGTTTTTAGACTCGGGTGGACCGTTATCTCATTGGCAATCCTACCACGAGTCCTTTTTTTAGCTCACCGGGGCCCGAAGGGCCCCATGTGAGCTTATGCCATCACTTGGCGTCCGTCGTCTGTCGTCGTCGTAAACTATTTCAAGAATCTTCTCCTCTGAAACTACTGGATCAAATACCTTCAATCTTTAACTGAATGTTTCTTAGTGTATTTAGTTTATAAATTGTATCCGAAGTTTTGATCCACCAAAAAACATGGCCGCCATGGCTAAAAATAGAATATAGGGGTCAAATGCAGTTTTTGGCTTATATCTCAAAAACTAAAGCATTTAGAGCAAATCTGATATCATGAAAAAATGTTCAATAGGTCAAGATCTATCAGCCCTGATATATTCAGACGAATCGAACAACCCATTGTTGGGTTGCTGCCACTAAAGTGATAATTTTAAGGAAATTTTGCAGTTTTGGTTATTATCTTGAATATTATTGCCCTTTTAGGACAATTTTACACAATTTGTTCATCATGTTTGCTAACATTTAAAATTCTTCTCCTCTGAAACTACTGGGCCTAATACTTCTTAACTTTAACTGAATGTTCCTTAGGGTAACTGGTTTATAAATTGTATCCGAAGTTTTGATCCATTATGAAACATGGCCGCCATGGCTAAAAATAGAACATAGGGATCAAATGCAGTTTTTGGCTTTTATCTCAAAAACTATAGCAGTTAGAGCAAAAGTGACATGGAGTTAACGTGATGAATAAGTCAAGATCTATCTCCTATGAAATTTTCAGACCAATTGGACCACCCATTGCAGGGTTATTCCAGAATATTGTTTCCATTTGGAACTTATATTATGAAGGAACTTCTATTCCGTGACAGTCCGAAATAGTTTATTTTTGAAATTTTTACTGTTTTTTGGTTATTATCTTTAATATTATAAAAGATAGAGAGAAAAAATAAATAGCAAAAATGTTCAGCTAAGTAAGATCTACAAATGATTTAAATGTTCAAAATAGTCAATTGACTCCTGAAGGAGTTATTGCCCTTGAAACGTTTATTTTTTACATTTTTTTGTGCGTCTATTTCTTTTTCAAAAATCTTCTCTGAATCTACTAAGCCAAATACTTCTAAACTTTAACTGAATGCTTCTTAGGGTATCTAGTTTATAAATTCTATCCGAAGTTTTGATCCATCTACAAATATTGCCGCCATGGCTAATAATAGAACATAGGGGACAAAAGCAGTTTTGGGCTTATATCTCAAAAACTACAGCAGTTAGATCAAAAGTGAAAGGTTAAAGTAATAAATGGGTCATGATTTATCTGTTATGAAATTTTTAGATGAGTTCGACAACCCATTGTTGGGTTACTGTTGGAAATAGGTTATTTTTATTAAATTTTACGGTTTTTTGGTTTTTTTCTTTAATATTATAATAGATAGAGAGAAAAAAAGGGATGAATGTCAATAAATGTTCAGCTATGCAAGATCTACAAATAAGTCAACATGATCAAAATAGTCAATTGACCCCTTGATGAGTTATTGCCCTTAAAACGGTTTTTTTTTTACATTTTTTGTGAAAGTCCAATTACTTTTCCAAATATCTTCTTCTCTGAAACTACTTTGCCAAATACTTAAAAACTTTAATTGAATGTTCCTTAGGGTATTTAGTTTATAGATTGTATTCGGGGATTTGATCCATTCAAAATCATGGCGGCAGTTTCTTAAAATAGAACATAGGGGTCTAATGAAGTTTTTGGCTTTCATCTCAAAAACTAAAGCAGTAAGAGTAAAACTGACATAGGTGAAAGTCTTAAACAGGTTTAGATCTACCTGTCAAGTAATCTTCCGACTAATAGGTCAACTTATTGTTGGGTTACTGTCCAGAAATAGTTAAGTTTTAGGAAATTTTACAGTTTTGGGTAATGTATTATCTTTAATATTATCATAGAAAGAGAGAAAGTGTCCATGACAAAATTGTTCAGCAAAGGAAGATCTACAAATAAGTCAAATGCCTTAAATTGAAAGTACAGACAGGTGAGCGATATCAGGCTCTCATGAGCCTCTTGTTTTATGTCAATATGACTAACATTGTACAGAAGGTGCTATCAGCTTAAATGTGATGTCGAAAAGAAGCAAATGTTTCATTTTTTTTATTTTGGAGAACGTTGGAACTTAATGACTCCGTTATACAATGCTGATAATACATGAATAGGCTGATTCTTTGTCATCATAATTACTGTCTTTTGCTTCAGTTTCGTACTTCATATGACCTTTTTAACTTTTTTTTATTCGTGCTTCACTGAATAGAATAGAATTTGGTTAAAAAAGGAAGTTTTTCTGTGAATAATTTGAAATAACCAGATATAACCAATCTGCTCTTCCGCGTGATGCTTTTGTTGAAACGATAAGTGCTACTAAAAATTTGGAAAAACTGGTATCAAAATTTTCAGTCAAAATATTTTTTTTTCGAAAAAAGAATATCAGAAAAGTGCTATACTTAAGTATTTCCTCCTTGAATTTAATACACATATAAAAAGAATGACGAAAACAATTCAGATTTTCTTTACAAATGTTGATATGAATAGCATCGTTAGTATTTTTCCTGTAATAGGGAATAACTGATAGTATAGAGTCTAAAACATATTTGAACAACAATTCCACTTTCTGGAAATATCCCTTCAAATGATAATACACGGAACTATCTGTCAAGTCCTGCAAGTGAAAGTGTGAATTATATCTGGGGTTTTTTTTTTTGGGGCACAATAAACCTTCCAAGTAAGCAACAAGATAACGAAATGTACATTGCTCAAGAGCCCTTTTTTCAATTCAAGTGCATGGGTTCAACGGACAAGTTTTCCCTTAAAATATTTATACTTATGCAACAAGAAATAAACGACCCTTAATGATTTTTTGTAAGAAGTCTTTAAGAACATTGAATGTTTAACATATTCTCAACATCAGATAAACATCCCCATTCCGAGTTGACATGACTAGAAGTTGTTGTATGGGATGAGACTGGGAGGTTTAGCTAGCGATAAAACCAGGTTTAATCCACCATTTTTTTCGGAAAATGTCTGTACTAAGTCAGGAATATGACAGTTGTTTTCCACTCGTTCCGTTGGTTGATAAAGTTTGATTTTTCTTCAGTTTTTATGGACTTCCCTTTTTTGAATTTACCATGGAGTCCGATATTTTTGTTATACTGTATATATATTCGTGCATACTACATAGACCATCAAACTATGCAAAGGCAGGAATTTCGTCAGTGATAATCTGTATTTATATCTTAATGCTTTCGTCCTTTAACGAATATAGTTTTGATGATAGATACTTTGTTGTCTGTTAAATGTATTAATTCGTTTAGACTTGAAACAATGTAAAGCTGGCTTATGGTGAAGGCACTGGTCTGCTGTTGCATACCGTAACTATGTTAACCTCTTTATGTCATTTATTTCTATTTTATACTTTTGTTTTACGTTGTTGCTGCACTGACAAATATAGATTATATTATCAAACGGACACAACGATCATAATGTGCACCCCGTCCCCTCCTGTTCTTTTTAGGTTAGTGTTGTAAATAGAGAATATTAAAATAGAGCAAGACGCCGGAAATAAATATAAAAAACTTTTCTTTAATACACCCAATAATGCAATAATGCAAATCAGTAAAATACAAAACATCAACAACATTTGGATAACAACAAACAGAAAATGAGCATAAATACCGGTATACAGTCCCCATTCGTCAATTAAAATGCAGGTTAATGTTAGTTTTCCACATGGTATGTGTGAGCTTCAGTTCGTGTAAAGAACCAGTTTTTTTCTTCATCTTTTGATTAAAATCGTTCATATTTGATAATATGTCCACTTTGAAAAATAAAGTTATAAAGTCCACAACCTTTAACAAGGAAAGAAGACCTACTAGTTGTAATTGTATTGCCACCACGACTGATTATTTTCACTGTCGACTGTTTTTTTTTATCAGCCTGTTGTATATCGTGTCTTTTATATAGCTTAACTGCAAAATATACAATGTTTATTGACAAATGATACAACTGTTTGCCAATTAACAAAAAAAAACTTTCACAAACTAACATATTTTTTTTCTATTGCCAGCGTAGCTTTCCGAATAAGAATATGAAAATTATGGGCAAAGCAATTACTTTTAAATTTTGATTCGTTTTCTATTAAAGTCTCTCGCAATCTAAGACTTTCATGGTTTAGACTTTGACCATCCTCATCATACTTCTAAGGAGTTGTCGAAAATGCGGACTTGAGGTTTCTGCGTTCTGGTATGCCACACTAAAACCTGTATAAAATATCTTATAATAAAACATAATATTTGCAAAAAATAGTGACATTGGTAGGAAAAATATTGATTTTTCTCGAGAATCATGGAAATATCACACAACTTATGTAATATGCATATAAAAATCGTTTTTTTCTATTTTTGACTAGCTGTTTACTTTTGTAACGTAATTTAGAATATAACAACAACAAAAAACCCAGACGCGTACCACTTTATTTTGAATGCACATGCCTGCGAAACACAATAAAATAGTAATGTCAACACTCTCTAGCGATGTCCGTAAAAACAAAAAAATAAATACTAACGTGTACATGTTTGACACAAAACCAGCAGGTTTGTATGTGGGAATATTTACATGAATTTCTTACGAGTTAAAAAGAAATGTCTTTTGCCACAGTAAATTCAGGTTGCAATGCGTCAAAAATATACCGTTCCGAATACAAAAGACCAGAAAAAATTGTGAAAAAAACAGAAATCCGGAATGAATGGTAAACCCAGATGACACCGTGTCACGTGGCTAAACATTGAGTTAGTAATCGAGTTTGAGTTCAAGTTCAAGTTAAAATAAAGAAAGAGTTCAAGTTACGGTTAATGTTCGAGTTCAAGTCACAATTCCGTGTATGAGTTAAACTTAAGACTTTGAATTCGAATTATTTAATTGGAGTTCGTATTTTGATAATTTTCAACCGCGTATCTAGGACTTTTAAAAACGAATGTATCTGTCGGCAGTACTTGTAGGCCATTTATTACAAGCTTAATAAGTTTTATTAAGTACTTATATAATTAAAACCTCAACCACAATACAAGTGTTTATAACGGCATTGAAAGGTTGATTTGAACCAAAAGTTTCTTTTTAAGATTAAAGATATTTTGTCTCCGAAAGTAATGCTAAAAATACCTTGCTACAATTATCAGCAAGCGGTTCAATTTCTTCTACAGCACAACATTTTTCTAAAAGTTTTGTCTCCAGCATCCCTGAATCTGCATCCGTACTAAATCTCATTGGGTTGTATGTCCATAGCACTTTTGCATTCAAAGCAAATCCAGCCATGTCAATTGGAAATTTTCTTGTTTCAGATTTCCAGGCTAAAAATTTTATTACCTGTAAAGAGATAATTTACAGTTTTATACGTTTTTTTCCTTTTGTCAATTTTGCAGAATACATCAAATAGAAAATTTCGCCACACCTTTCATAATTTGATTTATGATTCCCATAATTCTAGAAATTCTCGTTATACATCAAATATTGTATAGTTTTTTTTAACTAGAAAGGACCCTCTTGCTTCAAATATATTTAGCTAGTAAATAAGAGTGGACCAAATAGTTCCGTTTAATAACACTTGCAACGAATTTAGTTTTGGTTTTCTTTCAATCTTTGACTTTATCGATCTCAATAGAAATTCGTTTACCTTTTTGCATTAAAACCGACCAACGTGATTTACCTTCTTTTGGAACAAAGGAAATAAAATTGAGAATGGAAATGGGGAATGTGTCAAAGAGACAACAACCCGACCATAGAACAGACAACAGCAGAAGGTCACCAACAGGTCTTCAATGCAGCGAGAAATTCCCGCACCCGGCCCCTAAACAAATATATATACTAGTTCAGTGATAATGAACGCCATACTAAACTCCAAATTGTACACAAGAAACTAAAATTAAAAATAATACAAGACTGACAAAGGCTAGAGGCTCCTGACTTGGGACAGGCGCAAAAATGCGGCGGGGTTAAACATGTTTATGAGATCTCAACCCTCCCCCTATACCTCTAACCAATGTAGAAAAGTAAACGCATAACAATACGCACATTAAAATTCAGTTCAAGAGAAGTCCGAGTCTGATGTCAGAAGATGTAACCAAAGAAAATAAACAAAATGACAATAATACATAAATAACAACAGACTACTAGCAGTTAACTGACATGCCAGCTCCAGACTTCAATTAAACTGTTTGAAAGATTATGTCTTCATCATATGAATATCAGGCACAATCCTTCCCGTTAGGGGTTTAGTATCATACCATCATAACATATATAAGAAGAACATAACCCGTGTCATGCCAACAACTGGTTTTTAAATAAATGTGTTTAGTGCCGATGCAAAGACCCTATAAGTGAATCAATATTAACGCCAAAATATGCAATCTTTAATGACCTGACAACAGTATCGTAACTATATCCCTTCTTAATAAGTCTATTTAAAGGTTTTGTTAGCTTCAGAGGTGAATACTGACATTTTTGTGCTTTATAAAGAATATTTCCATAAAAAATTGGATGTGAAATACCTGAACGTATAAGAAGTCTGCATGTTGAGCTATATTTACGAATGATGTCCTTATACCGATGATAAAATTTAGTAAATGTTTTGACTAGTTTGTGATATCGAAAACCCTGGTGTAATAATTTTTCAGTAATACATAAATTTCTCTCGTTAAAATCTAAAACATTGTTACATACACGAGCGAATCGTACAAGTTGAGATATATAAACACCGTAAGATGGTGACAAGGGAACGTCACCATCTAAAAATGGATAATTAACGATAGGAAATGAAAAATCATCTCTTTTATCATATATTTTAGTATTAAGCTTTCCGTTAATGATATAGATATCAAGATCGAGGAAAGGGCAGTGGTCATTGTTAGTATTAGCTTTATTTAAAGTAAGTTCAACAGGATAAATTTCTTTAGTATACACACTGAAGTCGTCATTATTGAGAGCCAAAATATCATCCAAATATCTAAAAGTATTATTAAATTTGTGTATCAGATGTTGTTTCGATGGGTCTTTGCTGATTTTTGTCATAAATTGTAACTCATAGCAATACAAAAAAAGGTCCGCAATAAGTGGTGCACAGTTAGTCCCTATTGGAATTCCGATAACCTGATAATATACGGAATCTCCAAAGCGAACAAAAATGTTATCTAGTAAAAATTCAAGGGCATATATAGTATCAAAGCATGTCCAATTGACATAGTGTTTTTGTTTATTGCTACTAAAAAATGACCCAAAAGAGTTTGAACATATATATTCACATTCTGACTTTTTAAATGCCCATTTAATTAGGTGTGTGAATTTTTTCTTAATGAGAATGTGAGGCAATGTGGTATATAGGGTAGAAAAATCAAAACTTTGAACAGATTCAAAATCACCAATATATGCATGCAATTTATCAAGTACTTCCAACGAGTTCTTGACACTCCAAAAGTAATTAATTCCACTATTTTCGAAGGCCTTATTTGAACAATTTATTATCAGGTTTTTGATTGTACCAAGTGTACTGGTAAGAGGAACAGACAATTTAGTAGTGGAACAATGGCTTGAAGACGAAATGAATCTATATTTGTAAGGTGTTTTGTGTAGCTTCGGAAGCCAATACATAGTTGGGACTTTCATTGTATTTGGTTCTGCTTGTAAAGCGGTAGCTAAAAATTTATGTTTTTTACATATGTCGTTTTCTGAAAATGGAGTCAGTTGGAATGTTGGTGAATTGGTGATTTCTTTTTTCAGAATGTCTTCTAATATATATTATATTCAACAATACCTAACGAGATTACATTTTTATATTGTTCTTCCTGGAGTTTGTGATAACAGTTTTTGAAGAAAATCTTCATGATAAAAATAAACAGTATAGGACAACCTCACTTTTTTAACGGTGACTTGGTGCGATCATTTCACGTTTTCGCCTGAAAATTGGTAAAAGATAAAACGCAAAACCGCAAAATGAAAACCATTCCGCGATTCCAGTTTGGTGGATTTATATTTCAGCAGACTGTCGATGGTCCAATGGATTCTTATTGTGCACCACTACTGGCAGACTTGTTTTTGTACTCATCTGAACCCAAATTCATACATAACCTTCACAAAGACAAAATGAAAAAGCATCTTGCAAATTTCTTTACTTCACTTTCAGATATATTTATGTTGTGTCACTCTACCAGATTTCAATGAATGCTTACATCTCACATACCCATGTGAACCTGAGTTTAAGGATATTTTGACCATTTCCTCGATATTGACTGTGTACAAAACTTTGAATTTGTCGAAATACTAAGGATTTTCAACCACAGGCATAAATTACCTTAGCTACATTCGACTAAACCTTTCATATGTTTTCCTCTTATAGTTGATGTGTTTCCTTCGGATTTAGTTTGTAACCCGGATTTGTTTTCTCTCAATCGATTTATGACTTTCGAACAGCGGTATACTACTGTTGCCCTTATTTGTTCTTCAATGATCTCAAACTTTGTACTTTATTTGGCCTTTTCAACTTTTTGATTCGAGCGTCACTGATGAGTCTTTTGTAGAAGAAACACGCATCTGACGTACATAATTTAAATCCTGGTATATATAATGAGTTTATTGACATAGATGGACGACTTCAAATTATAATCTATGACAAACGTGATTATTTAAACGTTACATTCGCGCAAGTTCACATTAACAGGGAGTTGCTCCTTACATAAAAACTGCTCCAACAGAATTATGAGGAAGAACGACTGAAACCGACACTATATATGTTTTCAGTCACCACCATGAATAGGTTGGCCAATACGATGTGTCGGTGTCTTAACTCTCCATGTTCTTAGAATTTAAGATACCAGTATAGTCGTCTGATCTGTTATTTTACCGGTTGTGTCCTATACCCGATTGTGACATTTTAACTGAGTGTGAAATCGCATGAGGATGATGCATGCACTACAGGAGACGTTAACCCGTTCGACGCACATGTCTCTCAATTTTTGTTTGTTTCCTTCATTTTTCTCTTCCTAATCGATTTACAAGATTTGCATGTTTCTCAGTTTTTGTTTGTTTCCTTGATTTTTCTCTTCCTTATCAATTTACAAGATTTGCACATCGGTAATACTGTCGCCTTGATTTAGCCTTCGCGTTATGATATACATCAAAGGTGAAAACTTGAATTAACTGCATCTGGCCATTATACCTTTCCTTTCTTAAATTGTTTCATCAACCATTTCTTTCGAACGTTTGTTTTTAAATGGATCGCTATTTGCTTATTCATAGTAGCACAAATTAATTACATAATAAATACACAAAAACGAACACATTATAAGTATTTCCGTAACATAAATTGATTCAAAAATATTTGTCACATATGAAGCGGGATCATTTCACCCTTCTGGAGGACCAGTGGTCACCCCAGGTTTGTGTTGCAAATCGAGTTGCTAAGTCTTTAATTTTCAATGTAGTGTTTTATGTGTTGCTATTTGTCTTTTAGTCGGTTTTCTTTTTTTTTTGCCATGGCGTTATCAGTTTGTCTTAAACGTATGGGTGTTGAATGTCCCCTAGGTATCTTTCTTCTTATTTTTAGCACAGGATAACAAAATAAGTTTGATAAAGTTTTAACAGTACCAGGTTTTCTTGTTCTGTAATGCTACTGGTAAAGTTGATTTTTTTCTATGGATTGTTTTTGTGGTGCATTGTCTGGTGTACTATTGGTCTAAAACTGACCTAGATCGCTAAAACTAATTTATGTAACATAACCAGTTGGTATTGTTCTATTCTTTGTCAGGAATCTCGTCTTTGTCTCATTAAATATGTTGTCTATTTATGAATACTATCTATCCCATCTGTTGAATTCTTGAGCTCAAAAAGTAAATTGACATTCTACGGTTTTAACGCTTTCTGTGCAATTTGGAGACTTGAACATTGTTGAAGGTTGTATGATGATCATATATATCTATTTTTGCAAGTTTGTGACATTGATCCGGTGCACCATATTTTTGAGGTTATTTAAATAGACAGACAAAATATTACAGTCAGTCCTTATAATTTAATTCTAAATTCCATTTTTTAAGAAGAAAATCATGAAAAAACGTTGATGACGACACGGTCACATGAAAAAATATGTCTATGAGCTGATAGACAAAAAACCATCAGCCAATCAGCAGAAGTGTTACATTCAAAATTATGTTATTATCAAATATTCGGCCTGATGTTGGTGGTACTTTCACCGTTCGTATACCAGAAGGAAAATTGCGTTTTTTCATTCGTTGTATTGTCACTGTTTCAGACGTTGTAAAAAATAATCGTATTGCGAACTATTTTTACAATGGTCTAGATCAATCTGTCTGTCAATATTGCGTATGTTGTCTACTAAAAAAGAAAAACTAAATAAGCCGATGTAAAATTTGATTTGACTCTTATATAAGTCCTTACCTTTCCATCTTTAATAATAGGTGTTTCATACGTCCTTCCTCCTGATAACCCTACAGGCCACATTGATAATTTTTTGGTGTATCGCATCTGCAGATGAGTTTAAAAAAACAAATAGACAAACTAAAAACTGTTTTACAATCGTTAATTGTTAAAAATCAATAAAAAAAACCATACAGACTTATACTTTAAACAAGTTGCTTTCTTTAAAAAAAGAAAAGCAATACGTGAATCCGAGACCGCTGACTGGTAACCAAAAAAATGTTGCTGAATTTGTTTTTTGGCTTTAGATTTGAAATAATTGACTGAATAGAATAATATACCGATGATGTTAAAACACCTTTATTGAAGATATGTAATTGTGTGTAGATTCTTACACGAGTCAATTAAAAGCGATATTGTACTTTCGTTGGAAATAGAGAAATGTATACAGCTACTGTATGAATTTACCTTTTAAGGCTTGACTATTTTATTTATTACTTGGAAGTGTACATCAGTTTTTCTTCGTGTTTAATATACATACAAAGTCCCAATCATATTGCAATTCTTAGTTTCTGCAAACTGAATGTTTAAAGCAAATTGCACAGACCAATCGCAATGTAAATTTAAGCACTCAGTTTGCTAAAATAATCTGGATGCATTTATTTCGTCTGTCATATCTTCATATTTTGTTTCCTTGATGGCTTCAAATATTTCTTATACACATTATTAAAGCTCTCATCTGTACTCACGGTAAATGTTGTATAGAGAAATGGAAAGTCCAATTTCCATTTGAAGTGTAACTCTGTGGCATGCAACTTATAACAATGCTTCGTATTTTAGTTTTGATAGTAACACACCAGCTACATTGGGACCTCTTATAAACTGACAATTATTTCGGTCTATAAAATCATCTCACATTTTAAGGATTTCTTTAATCAGTCCAAGTATTCTATGGGAAAAACTTAGTTCTAATGAAGATCTATAAATACATGAATATGCTCTCAAAGAAATCAATTAATATAAAAAAAGATTTGTATCCTATGTAGATATATAAATGTTTTTAGATACTAGGATTAAAATGTTGTACGCCAGACTTTTGTTTACAAAGACTCATCAGTGACGCTTGAATAAAAAAAATGTTAAAAAGGCCAAATAAAGTACAAAGTTGAAGAGCATTGAAGACCCAAAATTTCGAAACAAAGGTTTTGCCAAATACATCTATTAAAGGTAATCTATTTATTCCTTGGGACGAAAATCCTTAGTATTTTGAAAATTTGAAAAAGAAAAAAGAAACAGCTAGAGGTCAGAATACCTTAACTTATGTTATCATACTTCACGTCAAAATGCCAGATTTTGATTGGATATATAATTTACTCTATCCCGTGGCTCAGCGAGAAACAATTTTTTGAATGTCACCCTCTCGTGTAGATCAATCGAAAATCGATAATTTAAAGGACAATGAATTGAATTTACGTGAATAAATTAAAGATGATACTCAAGGTCTACGTTTTGGCCTCAGAAGAACTTTTTTTATAGACTGTCAAAATATAAAAAAAATGTCTTGATTCACTTCTATTATTTTTCTAATTACTGTTACGTTGTTGTGTACGTGACGTCATAGTTAATTACTTTCAATTCAAAATTTAACCGTAAAAGACAATAATGATTGAACATTCAGTATAATAGATTAAATAGCACATAACTGAGAGGGTGATAGAGCAGATGGGTACCCCTCGAAAAAGCATTGTCAACCTTGGCTTCGCCTCAGTTGACAATGTTTTCTCGGGGAAACAATCTGCTCTATCACCCTCTCAACTATGTGCTATTTATATAATGACCATGATTCAACGTCACATTTCCAGCTCAAACTGCCGTGTCCTGAATTTAGATAATGCGAAAATTCACAGTCCGCGAGTAAAATTGATATCTATACCGTAAATTGGGAAATTTTGGCGTCGGGATATTTTGGCGGTTTTCTCTCGAAAGGCATGTGTTTTATTTTGGTGTGTGTAATTTTGGTACTTCGTCCAATTGATATGTTTAATTTTGGAACAATAGTAGTGAGCAAGCTCATTCATATTTGCTTTTATTTACCCATTTCTTGACAAAATATCATTGAATATCTCAAACTAGAAACACGACAAAGTTAACTTAATGAAGGAATCGGATACGGATGCAATTGTAAAAATTCCGTATATCGTGGTTTAAAGCTGAAAGAAAATTTGAAATAAAATCTTTAACATTAAAATTACTTTTTAAATAGATTATTCATTTTTTACAAATATCATATGAAATAAATTGTAATCATCATCTTTTGACGATCAAGGATTTAAATTTTAATCTCGATGCCTCTGACAGTACATGTTAATTAATTGAAGATAAAGGATTACAAGCAGTTTTGATATTCTAATTACCAATAACGGCGTCTAATCAGCAATAACATGGCATATTTATGACATGTGTGACTAAAAATTCATGTTGTGTTTTCTTAACAAATTCAGAAAATTGACAATTAAGTAAAAATTGTATAGTGTTGTTGTCAAATTATACCAGGTATTTATTTGCAGATTTGGCTATGTATAGAATTGTAGGAAATATACGGAAGATATAATAACATAAAATATTTTCCCCAACAATTAACATAACGATATTGTCGTACCGGTACGTACGTTTCAATTTTTAGTGTTTGCTTTATTTTCGTGTGTTTAATTTTGGCACTTTCATTGGGGGCACCAAATAAACCAAAATACAACTACAACCAAAATAACCCAATTTACGGTTTATGCATCTGGTTTTCTTGCGCAGCGTAAGAAAAAGTAAGTGGAAAGCATACGCACTGATACTCTGGATTACAATACGCATTTGCGTCATCACGTATATTAATTCTAGGATCAAATCTAATGCTAGTTGAATTCGGATGTCTAACTACCTACCTCAAGTGTTTTGACTCCGGATTCATGGCCATTTAATCCGAAATCTGTGTGAACGCAAACCGACGTTGTGTCGTGTGAACAGGGTGTAATATAATGAAAATAAATCAAGACGGGTGTATGATAGCTAGTCAACACAATGAATACTAGGGGCGGATCCAGCCATTTTTAAAAGGGGGGTTCCAACCATATGTCCCCATTCAAAAGCATTGATCGTCAAGAAAGGGGGGGTTCCAACCCCCGGAACCTCCCCCCCCCCCCCCCCCCCCCCCCCCCCGGATCCGACACTGAATACACAATTTTCGAAATCGCACCGTATTGAAAAGATTAAGATGTTATGAGGTTAAACTATTAAAAACAAAACAAAAAGAATTGAAATTGAATTAACATACATTCCTGTTAATGAATCATTTCCGAAAATTAAAAAAAAATGATATCAATAAAAACAAACGTCAAGTAATTACTGATGGACAATTTATTTATTAAATCAATCTCTTCTTCAAGTCTGACTTTCTATTATATGAATATGTTGCTATATAAAATATAATCAGAGACTTATAAAACCATATACATTGTATACTAAAAACGAAATTGAATAATTAACGTAGTAATTAAATGATTATTGTAAAATATTGAATAGGTTTTTTATGAGATGCAAGGATTTAAAATCGTTGTGAAGTATTTTTTTCATTCACTACAGCTTAAATTTAACTTATGTGTACGCATCCCTGATAGTTGGTGTTAATATGTTGCAAATAATTTTCATAAGTGTATTTCCTGTTCAGAAATGCCGGACATAATATAACATTATACATTATATTCTATTAATGAAAATTTAGTTTCAGTTTAAACTTAATAATGTTAAAGAATATTTTCTTGGGCTGTTAGTGTATTTTAATGAACTTAAATATTTTGACAGAAATATTGTTTTGTTTAATTATAATTATGCTTTCCGACCTAAGATACATATTTATAACAGATATATCGTTTTGTTAATTTTCTTCTTGCTTTCCGACATTTGCCCTGGCTGTGATTGAAGTAAATAATGTCATGTGGTAAACGTTAAGAAATAATCAGTTTAATATGAGACATAATATATTAGTATACTATTCCCAGATTTATTGTCACAATGCACAATAGCACGTTGTATTAAATACTACACACAGAACGCACATAGGGGCCGTCTCATGAATTAAATAATTGCGTTATCATTATACTTGATATTTAATAAACATTCTGATTATGTCGCATTATTAAAACGCATATGTTCTACCAAAAGGCAAGTAGGTGGCAATATATAAATGATTTTTTATTGCAATCGAGTCTTTATTTTTTTAATTTTCCGATCTACAAATGAACTTCGATTGTTGAACTATACAATGTCACGTGGTAATCTATCCATAGAGGACTGTATCAAAGACATAAACAACTTCATGTATAAATGATCGAAAATTTTCGAGACGTTCCGAGAATCTTGTTTCCGAGGATGTCGAATGGCCCATAAAAGCTTCCAAAACTCGCTAATATATAAGCGTGAACCCCTCAGGGTTCACGCAAAAAGATAAACTGTATTGAGACAGTTATTCATTCCTAATTTGGTTGGAACAGCTGACAAAATGGGGAGGACATTCCCTTGAATTCATTTCACACTAGGACCAGATTTTAAAAATTCAATCTTTTTTATAAAATTCTAGGTATCACAGTCTCATCTGTGTTCCTGGAGTTTCATTCTATATTTCAGCGTATTTATGATCATTGAGCCAGGTAGTAAGTGTCTTATGATAGCTTAAAACTTGCATTTTGTTGGAATTTGACAAATATGTATTATTTTTTTTAACAAAAGATGTATGAGAGGCGCGTTCTTATCCATAACCAAAGCTCTTATAAGTAGAAAAATGTATTGTTTTTTTTTTCAGATACACATTTATTCATATTTAACTACAGTGTTCCTCAACGCCGCAGTATTGTATTGAAGGGGTGACGTTTCAAATAATAATTCCCCCAACTCCACCCACCCCATCCCCACATTTTGATGTCCAAAGTCATAAACATCGCCTGTACTATTTAAGTTATATTTTAATGCATTTATGCTTTTGGAATTTGTTGTTGTTGTCAGTTATTCAATAATCCCTCTAAAAAGATGCCAATTTTTTTTTAACTAATAGCGATTTAAAGCTT